TATTTATTTCCGACTGAGTATTTCTTTGTTTTGTTTTCTTATTTTCTTGACAAGCTAAATTTCTAGGATCTCACAGCCCTTAAAAAAAATTCGTAAATCCTTTGCATTTGTTCAATGAAATAAAGAATCAATGCAATTCAATGCTAGTTTTTATTTTGAGATCTTTCAATGTTGGATTCAGAAAACACGTCAAACTTAGTTTGCCATTCTTTTTTTTTAAAATTATGTTTTTGTATTAAAAAGAATTCATAGCATGGTTAGTTCTTTTATCTTAAGTGAGAGGAGAAAGAAATTATGGTAAAATTACTGTACTTGTATTATAAAGAAATTTCTGGCAAAAAAACATAATTTTGGTAATTAAACAAAACTATTCGGTAATTTTTCCATTCTCAAAGTAAAAGTTTTAAAATAAATTCTTGTCTTCAAAATTACAGTTCTTATTACCACAAATTTTGTAAAAATACAAATAAGAAAACTAAATTTAAATTAAATAAGTTGTTTTAGTTTAGGCCATACTCCAAGGTATCATGACCCAGTCAATTAATTTTACCACATTTACTACCATACAGCATGTTAATAAAACTATATAGTTAATTTTACTTAAAGTCGTTGCCAAAGCCCTTCGTCGAAAATTACCGTGCTTTTCGATGCTCCCACAGACCCAGAAACACGGTAAAATTTACAATAATCTGGTAGTTTTAACTGTGCATTTTTCTCGGTGTACATAGCATTTTTTTAAACCTTTAGCTTTTCTCAGTATGACAGTATTTAAATCTTCAGATATTAAACTATATAACCAATAAGTCTATAAAAATTATTGGTAGATCTTTAGTGATTTAAACATGCTCAGGGTTGCTTTATTATTGATTTATTTTGAATTTTTCGCTTACATAATAATCTCGATTTTTTCCCTCTAGTTTCTTGATCGCAGATGGTATTGAAATGATAGGTCCATCAGTAAAAACGAAAGTCATGTTGAGAAACATGGAATGCATAAGCAATATACAAATCATATGAAATATCAGGAAAATAAAATTTGTGGAAGAGAGTTATTTTAAAAAGATAGGCCCTCTAAACATAATATCAAATTAATGTTTAATTATTAAAAAGTTGTCCCTTTTTTCAAAAAATAATCTCATTAACCTTATTCTGCATGGTTTTAGTAAATAGTTCAACACAATATTAGTCTATTCAGAAGAAATTACTTTTGTGAAGCTTCGCAGTGCAGAATAGTTCTACCTTCCGCCTGCATGCACTGTTTTGGCTAGTATACCCAGCAATTTTTCAACCAATTGCAGGTCCTCCCGGCTTTAAACTGGTGAATCGATAGTACACGATAATCTAGATCAAAAGTCTAGTTTTAAGTATGCACAGGAACATTGTCCTGTTGAATAATAAGTAATCGAACTCCAGAATGCTCTTATTGTGAAAGGAAACATTGTTCAATATATATATATATATAAAAGTATTTTGTCAATTAATCTTAACCACGATAATGCGAATCTTGATCTCAGTTTTGGGCCAACATGATTGACTTAATCCTTTATAAATCGTTAGTTAAATCGTGATCNAAGCGCAATAAGTGATATATATATATATATATCATTTATTGCGCTTAAGCTGCAAGTAATCAGAACTCATTAGATAAGTTCAAAATGTAGAATAAAAAAAAGAAAAATTATAGACATATGAAGAAAAAAGGGGAGGGGGTAAGTAATAAATAAAAAAATAACAAACAACAGTTTAGAAAAAGAAAAAAAAAAGGATGAAATTTTACTTAAAAAACCGGAAAAAAAATATAATCTTTGCATCAGCCCACACGATTACTTATTTATTTATTTATTATTTTTTTTAAATTGTTGTTTGTTATTTTTTTACTTATTATTTCCCCCCCTTTTTTTTTCTTTTTTTTTCATATGTCTATAATTTTTCTTTGTTTTATTCTACATTTTGAACTTATATACATATATATATATAACATATATATATATAACATATATATATATAACATATATATATATGACATATATATATATATATATATATCTTCCTTTTTATATTTCAGATTGTGACAGTAAGATTGCCACCAATCTAAGCCATCTAAGGAGAATTTGTAGCGCCATTGAATATATCACAATGCCAGTTTTTTTCTCTTCAAAGCAATACTGTCGCATTACTGTCTGCACCAATTAAATCGCAAAGTTTATAATAATATCGTGGATTTGGTAATAGGAGGGTTACGTTGTCTGACAGAAATTTATTAGCTCGTATTAACAAATTTTTAACTGCCTTACGATGGTCCTCCTATGCTTATGTCACTAGCATTTCTTGTTTCAAAAAGAATAATTTACAACATTACGTAGGTTGTTTAAAAGTTAAGCTATTGCTGATTTCAATTTTTCATACTCCTTAACACTTTCATCTTGGTAATGACGCGTCTTTTCTCCTCCCTTCCCCTCTGCGCTTAGATTTCCACCGCATCACTAAAATTGAAGCAAAACACAAATTCCTTTAAAACTTGTTTATTTTACTTTGAAAACTAATAATCAATTACAATCAATAACCGCCGCATTTACTAATACAACGATAGAACACAGCGAATATTCCTGGAAGAAGAATTATCTTCCGTCGCAGTGAAACAGTTAAATTCATACATATTCTCTCGATCGTAAACTTCGACAAATGAAAGGTTGCGATGACGTTTCTTTTCGTTCGAATACGTCAAGTTGATAAAGTGTTGCGCCATAGAGTAATATATTTCAATAATGTTCAAATATAGAAAATTATGCATTTTTAAATTTAATACTCTGATTTTGAAAAATTAACAAAATGAAAAACGTAGTAATAGCGGAGAATAATATTAAAAAAAAGTGATTAAAACGTAAATAAATGTAATTAAATTAAGGATAAATATTTAAACTGTAGGTAATCATTATTTTGACTTTTATTAATTTGAAGCAAAGGCATAAAATATGAAAATAATTGCATCATTATAGCTTTTATTAATCTTAAGTAAACATACAAAATATATTAAAATAAAAATACAACTAAAATACTAAAGACAAGCTTACATGACCTATATAAAGTGACTCCATCTTACAGAATTACTTAATAGAAAACATTTGAACGTTCCACTTTTTCTATCACTTTCCATGACATCTGCTTATAGTACATAAAAATATGCATTTTAACCATTTATTGTTGGATTTTAGACCAACAAATGGGATGATTCTGATCACTGAATAGACCCACCTTAGTAAATATTTCACCCTGAAATTTGTATTGAATACATACTTAAAAAAATGCATTGGTCTACACAGTATATTAATTTAAAGTTATTGTAGATATCTTTAAGAAATGGGAATTAAATTTAGAACGGAATGAAATGATCAATAAAGTAAAAAATATTTGATTTACTGGTAAATACTGTTATAATTTTTTTATTTATTTAAAGCTAATGACAACCAGATGTTATCGGATTATCTTCGCTAGTTGAAAATACTGCCATTACTTACTTACTTAATCAGTTACTACCAAGACTTATTAAACTTTTCAGCATAATTTTATTAGAAATCTTACAAGTATATAGCTTTGTTATGATCAAGAAAAGTAACTAGCAATTATCTCTAATTTGACATTTTGAGCTAATTTGTAGAAATGATATAGTTTAGTGACCTTTCTCCCCTCTTTTAGCCTCTTATATTTGACAACAGATTTACAGTGGTTAAGTTACAAATTGTCTTTCTCCGTAAGATAAAATACTGTAAAACTAGACAATAAAAAACTGGAAAAATAACTATTTTTTGTTAGGCCAAACAGAATAAAAAAAAATAATGCTTGTTAAATCTTGAGGTAGTTTAAGTATCTAACTTTTGACTGGCCTTTGGTTCTTCATGCTTATAACTCGAGATTTATTTTCAAAATTCTGTAACTACTTATTTAAATATATTAATCTACTGTGTTATTATTTTTACTGCAATTGCTTAATGATTTTTGTATCCCATTCAGACGGGAAATAAATTCATTTTTCTCCATTTATTATTTGTCCGTAATTTTCTTATTTTTAAAGTAAGTTATAAATAACTAATGAGTTTCTTACATAATCGCTGACACTACCCAACCCTAAGCAATCGTATACTATTTGCTTTGCAAACCTTGCTTGCTCCACTCGCTACTAAGTTAGACATATTTGCGAGATGTTCTCCCGTAAATCAATTATTAAAACTCTTTAAAACTATTTACCTTTCAAAAAAATAATTTTAGTCAATAATGGGTGGCGGAAATAAAATTTTTTTAAATTGAAATAAGTAACATGCAAAAGAAAAATTTACTGAAGCTAAATTGTAATTATGCTTTTAAAAAAAACGTACGACGACACGTCTTTTACACATTCTTTTAATTTTACATCTTTCCTAGCTCTCATCAACGCTTTTTTCAGCTCTCGAGCACGCCTTTTTTTATTATATTGAAAAAAAAGAGTAATGCATGACTAATACTGATTGTTCTAAAATTTGGTACATAGTTTAGTATAAAAAATTTCAATAAGTAAAATTAAACAAAAATTGTTAAAAAAAATATAAATTTTTTAATAAGTGAAGAAATTTGGGAAACATAATTCCGTAGAAAAACATAAAGAATATTGAATCCTCTTTCTGTCTGAAGGGGACCCTAACAAACAAGATCTAAAACTTATATTCTAAGTAATTGTTGAGAGTGAATATCCTTTACTCTTATTAGAATTTATGGTATCGGTGAAATTACTAATTAAGGGCCTTCGAACTTTATTGATGAAGTGACATACTAACTGTTCTAGTAAGTCCCAAGGACCAAAATTAAACCAGAAAAGTCGTTTGTGGAAGCAAGATCACCTCTACCCCAGATTTCCAAAACTATTTATTTTTTAGAAATGTTTAACTATTTCAATTTTGAGCTAGTTATAAAATCATTTTGATTCTCATGCCTTTCCCATGCTTGAGCTTTTCCACTTATTTTTTTAAACACATATCTTTTCATATCAAAATGCTGTAGTACCTTCTCAAATTTAGCTGGAGGGTGATGTATCTACGGTACGTTCATTTGGTATGAGAGTACTTCTCTCATCAAACATTTAAAAAGAACTTTATCCAATTTATTAGAGTTAAAATGTTGATATTATTTATTATAGTGTATTTTTAATTATTATTATTATTTTTAAAGAAATAATTTGAATATGCATCGAAACCGGATACATGACAAGCCAGCACTGCTTTTTTGGGCCATATATCTGTCGCTGTTTCGGTCCGTCAACCTTAATTTGGAGATACCAGTTATAACTAAAATCTGCAACAACTCTTTAACAATTGAATACATATTTCAAATATAAAATAAATAATATATTTAAAAGAAATATTCCCACATTATTTGACATTACGTTTTTCACTTTTTTGTTAATGCAAGTTACTTGAAAACTTCATTAAAAATAAGATATAACTACTAGAATTTTAATCAACTGAGAAGTTTAGAAGAACTTTTTTAAAAGTTTGTTTCGAAGTTTTATTTATAACAAGTTTAGAGGATTCAAAATGGATGCCACTGAAAGTGTCAAATTCAAGTCAACTTATATCTTCGCGAATCTCTCCTGTTCTTTCATCTCACTGCCAGTTTTGAGATGTTGAGGTAAGATGGTAGTAAGTTTCTTACTCTTAAAATCATTTTTTCTTGAACCCTTCCTTTTGGTTTTGCTCTTAGAACCGGTTGATAGATTAGTGACGATGGCTGACTTGGTGTTGGTAGATCGGCCGTTATTGCTTGGCTCTGGTCCTATTTTCTTATTGCTGCTTGGTTTCTGACGTCTTACCACCAGAGCACCTCTTCTCATACTTGAACCTCCTTTGCCATAGCTATTAAGGAAAAAAAATTGTTTTGTAAGTTTTAAATTACTCAATTCAAAAATTTAAAGCAATGAAACTTTGGAAAAACTTTTTTTTTTCGTACTAAGGATTGGATTTTAATCCTGGTTACTCGTCTTTTTCCACAATCGAAAAACAATCACAAATTTACCGGGCTGTGCAAGGGTCAGGGAACTGGCCTTGCATCAGAAAGGTTCTGGGTTCGAATCCCGGACATGGCATGAACGTTCATTCTTTCTCTGTACTATCTGTCCTTACTGTTGTGGGAGAAACGTTGGTCCACCTAATATGGTGCCCCTGAAAGAGTGGCCAACAAATCTGCTCTCATACGCCTGAGTCGAATGTCAACACAGGTGGGCTTTTTAAGAAAAAGTAGATGTGGTTTATTAATTCCCTGTTAATTGTTAAATGTTAATCAGACTTTATATTGCTAGTGGCTTTCTTCTAAACATTTCTGATGGAAATTTGCAGTTCATTTGAAATATATTTTATTACCTTTTGATTTCTAATATTTAGTTTTTTATTTCAGTGTTAGGTTTTCCGTATTTGGCTTACGTTTTCGGAATAATAATAAAAAGTTTAAGAGTGTGAATTAAAAATTAATCTTCAGTCAGGGCATTTTTTAATGATTGCTTAGTTGAATTTTTAACGTAACGACTTAACATATTCAAGTCGAATAACAACATACTTGTTTATCATTTTAAATTTAAATTCTTTTACTTAAATACTATTGAAAAATGTGATTGGAAATGTGAAGAGCATTGTCATAAAATGTTGTTGAAAATGTTAAAAAAATATCTAGTCTTTGGGTTGTTCATGCGAATTAATTCAGCTTCATATCAATGGGTACTAACTTGTCTGGGGTGTAAAGGCTGTCTGTGCGCAGTGCTGACCGTATTTCTACAATCATGCCGTTGGTTTCGAAATTAAGGAGCATTAACCTCTATGACGTCCCTGACTTACAACTAGTTGTTGAGGGAATGTTTTACTTTATGATTAAAATTCTGAAATTTGCAGTACAAGAACATTTAAAATGTCACTCTGCCAACAGTTTTCCTCTCTGTTACTTACCATTCATTAAACTTTCTTTCACTGTATACTTTAACAAAAAGAATTTTAGCGATGTATTGAGTACATTTGACTATAGCCTAAGTTAGGTAAATTTTTTTAAATATTAACTTACTAGAAATAAGACTAGACTAGACTAGATTTACTAGAATAGTAACTTTATACATATAAAATACTAGATTTAAAAAAAAAAGCTTATCTTTTTTTTCATTAAAGTAGCAGATTAAATATTTTTATCTTTAATATTAAAAATAATGATAAAGAAAAATGATTGATTCTACATGTTGCTAACAATAAAGTAAGTGCAAAAACTGAAATGTTTACTTAGGTAACTTATTTTTTATTTAAAAATTTTTGAACATTGGCAACAAAGGAGAACTTAATGCAGAATCAAGTTAAAGTTTATTTATTTTTTTATAAATGTTATGCTCCACATCAATATGTGCACAGCTGTTTTGTAAGCATTCCAATCTAAATTTAAATTTTTATAACCAGTGTTTTGAATATTTATTTTTTCAGCAAACATTTTGTAAATGCCTCTCTATTTTAAAAATGACCCAATTATACAATGAGGCAAAATTGTTTTGAAGCTGTCTATGGTTATTTTCCATGAATTTTTGTGTGCTTATCCGTGTAACCTGAGTGTTACAAGCACCGAACTTTGATTTTGAACATTCGAATACAACATGCTGGTTAATAGCGACCAGATGGGCTGTATCTCGAGCCTTGATTTGTTAATTTACAACTAATTTTTTAATTGATATTTTCTTTGCATTTTTCCGTTTTTTCTTTTTTTTTCTGATATTTCAACGCATTGAGATCCATCGCTTTTATACTTCTCATAGTGGTTTATTGCGTTTTCCTTAAACCAAAAACTCTTTTTTTTGGACAATTTTTTCCAAAAAAAAAAAAAAAAAACACTTTAACCCCACGTTTCCTTAATCACTTCTACAGCATAAAAGTACCTTTGATATTTATAAATATGAAAATTGCATATGAATATATAGGCATAATCTCTAAGTATCTTTCGTTGAGACACGAGATACATATTTAAAAATAAAGAGTAAAAAATATTATACTCTGTTGCAAGCTAAAAAAAAAACCTAATTCCTATACAGAGAGCCTATTTAAACCTAAGTGTGAGCCAAATAGACAGCAAGTTCCCAGGGCGAACGTATGCGAACATCAGTAACTCTTTAAAAAGCGTTGCTCAGCCTATTTTTTGCATGCTTTTTTAAATCGCGTCAAATAAGGCAATCAAAACTTATTGATCCGTATGGCTCAGGGGATAGAGCGTTCGCGTTTCAATAAGTGAACCGGGTTCGAAAACCACTGATGGCTGGTCGATACAGATCTGCTTCCGGGTTGAGCCGGCCACCGTGCTAACGTGAAATATCTTCAGTGGTTGATGGATATTGATGGGATGACTGGTTGATACGAATTCCACTCCCGACTAGCACCGACCACAGTGCTGATGTAAACTATACTTAGAGGTAGACTGTTCGCGAGTTAGAGTCCTTTTGCCGTCAGGATAACCGTGGGAGGTTCTCGTGGTCTTCCTCTCCATGTAATGCTAATGCGAGTTAGTTCCATCAAAAAGTCCTCCACGAAGGCAAATTTCCCCTAATACTTGATCCAGGAGTTCCTTTGTCTTCTGGATTGGGTTCAACTTTACAAGGATATGAAGTTGAATATTAGCAGTCGTAAACCCAAAAAATTAGGTCGGTTGTTCAACGACTTTTGCAATATAAAAATAAAATCAAAACTTATTGAATGATCAATTAGCAAGTAATAAGAATTAGTAATCTAAAAATCGTTACAAATATACTTCTTTCTATTCGCATTTTAAGAAACTAGTGAAAATATAATAATTATTCTTTCTTGCTGCCTATTTTCTTCTGCAGTGACAGAAAAGAAAAAATTCCTTATCTCGCATTTAATTTGTTAAGGGCATGTCAGCATAAGACGTGCCCTTTTCAGTGCTTCAATTAAGGCAAGTGTTTATCGAAACTACGTCGCCAAGTCTAGGATTCCAGTAACACTTCGAACCTACAACATTTTTCAAATAATTTTGCGATATGTATCGTAAAAGATAGTGTGATGCCACAATTGGCATTACATATTTATTTCCTATCATTTTAAATATATCTAATTACTTAAGCTTATTTTTATTAATTGAATTATATTTAAAATAAATCAAAGACTTAATATTTTAAAGCGAACATAAAATATTTATTTCTTCTCGTATAGATCAATGTAACGGATGCTTTTTATTTCATTACTATCAAAAACAAAAGTTTATTTAGAACTTTTTATTCTAAATTTCTAACCGCTAAACCAGTTGCATTAATGTAATAATTCTCATAAATTTGTTGGCGACTCGTGATCGCCAAGGTATTCATTTAAACCCAATATTGATATGCTGGTTAGCTATGTTATATTTTGATAATTTGCCAATTTTGAATCTCCTAACCATGTCTCTCCTGTGTCCATTAGGAAAAATTGTATTCACTTTTTAATTCAAGAATTTGTGGCGACTGGAAGTGCCCTTTTGGGCGCTCCAGTCGCAGCTATCCTAACCGTTTTTTTTTTAAATGTAATTTTAAGGAAATGCTAAAAAAACGTCTTCATGTTGAAATTATATTTTCTTGATCCCCTTAAGGGATTTATTTTGATAATTTATAATTATATATGATGGCCATTGTTAATAATACTCACGAACTATTGTTTAATAAATTGGATTTTTACTACGATTCATATTAATTTCTTGGAAACTGTTAATTGTTTCATCCAATTATTAGCGGCAAGAAAGGAACGGTAATGAATTTAGATATTTTCCACTATATGAATATTTTCGGCCACTTATGGAGAGCACTTCCATCAAAGATAGTATGAATTAAATTTTTGTCTGTCGTGTTTTACTTTTAAAAGTTTTTAAATTATTTAATGCATATTTGTATGGTTGGTAAAAAACGGAACTATACGCAATCGCGGATGATTACTGAAATCCTATGCCCAATTTTTTTTTCTCAACTTGAGACAGAGTATAGTTACATGTATTATTGATTTATTTTTCTTCAGATGAGGGAAACGTATACATTTAATTCTCTAAGCAAACATCGCACTCAAATGCTGTTTCTTCAAATGAAACCATCATTTAGCTCCACCTTTACACTCAAATGTAACACAATTCAAAGGTTGGGTGCTTACATTAAAGTCACTCTGTATAAAGTTGAGATGGGTAAACGCACGCTGCCACTTGCGTTATAATTTATTTTCTACGCAACAGCGGGCTCTCGTGCTTGTATCCAAAATTTCTTCGTTGTCTAGTAATCTGTTGTAAAATGATGGATGCTTTATGTTGAAATTTATTTGTATATGAACAAATTGCTGTGCTCTTATATTTTCAAAATTTTTTATTTCATATCAATTTTTCTTATCAATTCAATAAATATGAAAACGTAATGAGTAAATGTTTAAAGTATGATTAAAATATACATCATTAGTTTTAATTACTACTAGATTATTATATTAAGAATCATTATATTATTATATTAAGAAATGTTATATTATATTATTAAGAAATATCAAGAAATATTATATTATGTATTATTACAGTAAGAACTGTTATATGATAAGATAAGAATAATCCAAAAAATTTATTTCGAGAATTTTAGTGACGTTGCTAATTATTTTTAATTATTATAACTAATTAGGTTTGCTTGTAAATATACATTGAAATAAAGAAGTTTTGTATTAAAATGCTAAATTAATAAAGAAAAAGTACTTATTTGTTTATATCCGCACACGTTCCTCATATTTTATTTTCTACTATAAAACAAGATTTTTTAAAAACGACAACGGCATCGTTCAGAATCCTCCAACATAAAATTATCTTTTCTTTCGTATGTTTTCTTTCCTTCTACAATCATATTTCAGAGTATGGGCGTTTATTTTAAGTTATTATCATTAGATATTTAATATTGTCTTATGGTACAATATTATCTTTGTAGAAAACCCCTTTGTAGACTTTTTGAGTAGAAAAAGAAAATTAAGAAAATCAATAAACAATAGATACCCAAAATAAAGTAATTAAATTCTACATTAAATCATTGAGCTAATTGTATGTTATTGTAAATAAATTAACTAAGAACTTCTTTGTTAGTTTATATAAATTTTACCATGTGCAAATCCATTTCAGGCAAACCTGTGCATAAAATTATGTGCAAAATAGGCAATTCATGCTTCTTTCTCTCGCTCTCTCTCTTTTTTTCTTAAATAATTGTTAATTTTCTGAAATAAAATCGTTAAAATTGCATAATTAAATATCGAACATATTAATTTTATAACCGTCGTTGGGCAACACACCCAATTTCTGGGTTTACGACTACAAATGTTCAACTCCGTAGCCTTGTAATTTTGAACCCAATCCAGAAGACAAGGGAACTCCTGGATCGAGTATTGGGAGAAATTAGCCTTCGTGGAGGACTTTTTGATGGAGCTACAATGCATTAGCGTTACATGGATGCCTCCCACGGTTAGCCTGATGGCAAGCGAACTCTCACCTATGATCCGCCTACCACTGAGGATATTTCACGTCAGCACTGTGGTTGGTGCAAGCCAGATGCGGAATTCGTATCAACTGGGATTCGAACCCAGTTCTCCTCATTGGAAGGCAAACGCTTTATCCCCTGAGCCATCGCTTCTCAAACTTGTTAATTGCAAACTTCCTCAAACTATCCAGTATAATATTTCGTTGGAGCACATCCATTTTTGGGCTCATTCCTGGTAGTTAACAAATCAAGCGCGCTTCAATACTGTAGTATAAGAACACGCTATAAGACAAAATACCTTTATTTACGATTTGACCTCAATTTGCAATTCTGTTTTCATATTTTGCAATTTAGCAATCTTATTACGAAAATATTTTAAATCATTCTTGAGAATTTTTCCGTTCATTTAAGATTATTTGAATTCGCTACTCCCCTTATAGATTATGTTTTATATTTAGTTCCGTTTTTTTTTACATTTTACTTTCTGTTTCTTAAGTGATGCATGTTACTTAATGTATTTTATTCTACTTTGTTTCAAACATTTTTTTTTGACTGCTCCTCACACTATTGTATTGATATATTTAGCTTTGCATATACTGATACAATCTCAGAAAGCACTCCTTTTTGCTGATATAATTGTGTGAGATGATGAAGAGATTATATATTTTTTTCCCCGGATTTTTATAAAATTTTTTTCAAAATAATTTTCTTCTTTCGTTATTCCGTAATTTTTTTCTTATTTTATCTGCATTTTGAACTAATTATGAATAAATTATGCAAAAAAATACAACGATAAGCTTGTGACTTGTACCAATTACTTTGCATAAGCAATAACTCCACTAACTTTCGTAAACCTAGTTTAAATATACATGGAAATATAATCATTTATTAAAAAAAAATAGTTTCTTTGCCTTTCGTTTTCTTACTATAACTGCAGAAATATTAATTAAAATTAAAAACACTTTTTAGAGAAATTTTTAATTAAAGAAAAAAATATCATTTTAAAATTTGAAAAAAAAAATCGTTGAAAATTGAACATTTAAGAGTTATCTTTTCATGCTGCGCAAGCTCGGGAAACTTTTATATATTTTTTACAGCAACTTTTATATATTTTGAATCGTATTTAGTAAATATATTTTATATAATTCGGAGTAATATACTTACATTTCCAAGATGCTGCATATTAATATGAAAACGATGCAAAATGCGTGCAAATTTAAAAATAACTTCATAGTGTTCGACCTATGCGTCTAATAAAGGTTCACGTTATTTCTCTATTAGAGGAAGAACTTTAATAAGCTTATTGTCGTTTCTAAACTGAAGCAGGAAATAGTGCCACATCTACGCACTGCAACGAATTAATAAGTTCATTAATTTATTAATAGGCTATGCTGCCCTGACCTTTCATGTAAAAAAGGAATAAGGCAATTTAGTTATTTCAAATATAGTGCAATTTAAATGAAATAATTGTTTAGAATCGTTATTCTTCCTCCCCAAAAATATGGCATTGAATTAAACAATGTCCTAATTCAGTATATTGTTTGTATTCATAACATTGACCTTTGTTTCCATAATTTTGATACAAATTTTATTTTAATTTTATTTTACCCATATTTTTTGTAAAGGTAAAATTGAAAACAATAATAAAAATGCAAGTGTAATTTAATCTGTAAGTTTTGAAATACGTAAGTCGGAAATTAATTATTATGTGACTTAAACGTGCTTTAGTATGTTAGAAGTTAATTAATATGTAAGTTTGAAATCAAATAATATGTCAGTTAAATATGCTTAAGGGTAGTCGGTAGGGCATATATCAATAATTCTATAAACGACATTTTTCAATGTACTTTTTCTCAGCAATTAAATTATATTGCCATAATTATCAGCAACAATTAATGGTAATAATTATAACTATTATTATTAATAATATTGATTCAGTTTTTTTTTCACTGAGTATTTGCATATACATGTTTGCATATATATATATAGCTGTTAATAATATGTTTGGCAGATTTTTATTTTTTTTTTTAAATATTATAATCTAAGAACTTTAAATTTTTTAGATAGTTTCACCAAAAATCTCTCATGACTCAACCAGCATTCCGGTTAACTCTAAAATAATATCACAGCATACAACTAATATAATCTCTAATATCTCCAAAAAATCTCAAAACCCATATCATTAGTGGTTTCTTAGAGAAGGTATATCAAAAAAGGTCAGTTTCCGTATTATTGATATGTGCTTTACAGACTCCCCTTAAATATGCTAGAAATTTGATTATATGTTTTGCTGGAAATTAAATAATATGTATGCTAGAATTTTTTAAATATGTAAGATGGAAATTATTAATATGTAAGTTAGAAATGTTTTTAAGGTAAGCAAAAAGTGAGGAAATAGTTCCGTTTTTGTCAGACTAATAATGAAAAACGTAGATTGATATTACTTTCGAATAATCGGTGGATGTTTGGTAAATCGTGAAAATGGTGTTCCCCACTCTTTTGTCTGACAAAAACAGAACTTTTTTCTCCTTTTTAGTCCTGTTCAATAAAAAAAAATTTTTTTCTTCTTTTGTGTTACATGTCGATTAGTTTATTTATGGAAAGTCCTTGAAAATTTATGTTTGTGATGAAATGGAGAAAAAGTTTTTCTTGCGCCATTTTAAAAACTATGGTAGTTTAAGTAGTCGACAGATACCGAGGTTTAGTTGAAATTTAAGTTATATAGATAGTCCGAAAGTGGCGTGGGCAAACGTTTGATTGACAATCTATTATATATAATTCTCTTACGTGGCTCCCAAATTTTGGCTGTATTTCCTTTCCGCGGTGGCAACGTTTGCTTTGTTTTGAAAACACCAAAGCATTCTGCCTATTAATGATGTGTTTCTGATCTAATATATATAATTCTCTTACGTTTCTCCCAAATTTTGGCTGAAGTACTTTGTACAACTAAATAAGATTCTTTTCACAACAGTTAAATATTTACTTTATTTTCTTCATTCATAGAGAAAACAGTCGGCAAAGAATTCTGTTAGGTTTAAAAAACATTTCGCTAAAAAAATAACGAATTCTAAAAGAAATAAAAATAAACAACTTAAAAAATAAAAATGCTGTTGCCAGCCATAGAATTTTTTGAAAGTTAACTTAGCAACATAAATCAAAATGACATAGAAGCGCAACTAGATCAAAATTATGATACCTGAGCGCTTGACGTAACAAATCCTTCAATTCTAAAAGTGTTGTATCGCCAAATGCCCAAATTAACAATTGTGTTCTTAAAGAAATTCTATAAAAAGTTTTAAATAAACAACCTACTTCTACAACTGCTTCTTGAAGAACTTGGCTCATTGATTAAAAATATTGTTTTAATTTTACAGTACTAACTTTACTTCTACTTTCATTATTGCTATGACCCTCTTTCATTACATTTTACAACTTCATGCTAAATTTGAGGACTTTAAGTTGTTTTGTGGTTGAATACTGACATTTAGAAATGTGTACATAAAAAAAATAATATTTAGAGGTTAAGAGTTGCCTCAGAAAAATTTGAATTGTTGACATTGAACTTAACAATGGAAACAATCGTTTTTGTGAAAAATTGAATTGTATTGTTGACATCAAAACTAAAAATATTGTGTTTCAACTTAACAATACTACCTTAATTTATACTTTAGAATTGCCTCGGAGAAATTTGAATTGTTAGCAATGACTTAAACAAAAAGTTTTATTTTAACAGACAAATACTATATTATAATTTTAACTTTTTCTATGACTATACTCATTTTCTTACTCTTTTCTTTGTTTTTTATACATTTTATATTTTTGTGATAAAATAAAAAACTTATAGTTGTTCTGCTTCTGAACACTGATGAAAACACAAAATGATGGGCTTCATCAACAATCAAAAATATATACATTTATTTTACAAATTCCATATTATTAAGGTGGCGCCCTTCAGAGAATTAAAAATACAAAATTATCTTCATCAAAGCCGATGCTTTACATCCGGCGTTCAGTGGCAGACTACTATTTCATATTGTTTTACAACACATGGCTTTAGCCCTCTGGTGGGAAAGACTTTCTCGAACAATAGAACCTAGTTACTTTTCTCAACAGCTGAAATTTAGAATAGTGTGATTAAGAAAAATATGTGAACTGCTTGGAATTTCAAATTAATATTGAAATTACAGATTTAGAATTTTCTACAGTGAAAAGTTTTCGGAACTTCAGTATTCAAAAAAGTGTACAAAAACTAGACGTTAAGAACGTATCCAATAAGTGAGAAAAGCGAGCATTGGATTGCGAAGCAATCCGAAATGAACTGTGAAAGCAGTTCCGGGGGTTGGTGAGCGCCAGTGAGCAGGGGGCGAAGCCTCCTAGTAATTTTATATTTGACAATTAAACGATGAAAATTATTTCTTGCAGATTTCTGGAAATAGTTGCAGCTTATCTTCTCATTAGAAATAAAGCTTTAATTGAAAGTGTAACACTTTTACTAGTCGGAAAATTATGAGAAATTCAATTGAGAATTATTTCTGTTTGAAGATAATTTGACAAAGAATTTGGTCTGTAGTGGTAAGAACACCAATTAGCATTATCAACAGAACTGGAATTCCGATTTTAATGACTTTAGGGGATTATAAACTATCAAATTTTCCATTCAGATATAAACTCTGCTAGTAACTATCAGGACATGGTTAAAACTTTCATTGTTGTACGAAATCAGATACAGTTTAAACCTCTTTCGCTCGTCAAAAACAGATCAGATTTCCAATTGTCCATAAATTCAAATCGGTAATAACATGAGGATAAATTCTGTTATTAGCAGTCAGTATATCGATACAAACTTGAAATGTCTTTTATCACAGAGCTCTAGTTAAAATTTAAAAAAAAATTAAAAGCTCTAGATAATCTTAAAAGGATTGGAATCTTACTTCACGACTAATTTAATATCGTAAATGAATAAACGAGGATAATGAAATGAATTTCACGATGATTACTAATGAAATTCTTAAAAAGTAGGTAAGTTCTTTTTGTATCGATTAGGGAAAAATTGAAAGTTGCATTGTCATCGCAGTAACAGTTACATTTCTAGCATTTTAGCTACCACAAAGTATGGTAAAAATTACCGGAATATGGTAAAATTTACCGTTTTTCTGGCTCTACGGGAAGAACAAAAGATCAGTAATATTTACCGAAGCTTATTGGTACGGAGTTTGGTAAAATTAACAATAAAATATAATTTTGTATTACATGATACAATTCAGTAATTTTTATTATGACACCTTAGAGCATGGCAGAAAAATCATTTCCTTGGTTGAATTTAATTTTCAATTTTGTGTATTTCATTAAATGTGTTGTAATAAGAACTATAATTTTGAAAACCAGAATTCCCTGTTATTCATTATCATATGAATGAAAAAATGAGCAAATGAGTATATTTGGTTTCTGGAAACTGCATAATTTTTTTTTTATCAGAAATATCATTGCTATATAGTTCGGTAATTTTATAAATTTTTTTTTTATCCATGTAGGAAAGCGTTCGAAAATTTGTTTTCAAGATTTCATCTTTATAAACTTGAAAAAAATTAATAAAAACGTAGTAAAATATTCGTAATATTGATTAATTCTTGTAGCATGTATGAATGCTCCACTAGTCAAATCAGTTGTTTATACTTTTTGATTGTTTTAAACTGAACTAAATTGATTGCATACTTACTGTATTCAAAGCAAATGTCTCTAGCAATAAATATTAAATTGGATAAATTTTGAAGAGCGCGAGGTTTAATGACCTAGCGGTCAAACAACTGGCATAAGAAAAGAAAATATTTTAGCACCAGCATATGATATTCTTTGACAATTGAATAATAAATAATTTATTTCGGAGGTATCAACTTTTTGGATTAATATTTAAGTGTATTTAATGGAGCTTATCAGTGAGGCAATTATACATAAAATGTTTTAATCTTCAACTTAAATTGCAAAAAATTGCAAATAAATTTAACAAGACTGTTAATTACGCGAAACTGTGTCTGGATATTAGGTAGAACCATTACGTAAATTTTAAGATAACTTGAAGCATCTTAGTAATCTTTCATTTTCTTTTTGTACATTTTCTTTACTTTTTCGTTTCGGTATTACGGATGATTTAACGTGTTTCGCTATTTGATTTTGCTCACTTGAGTCTGCAATGCAATTTTAGTTTCGCAAAATAAGATCGCTTCTGGCCCTTGCTTCATTTAACATTGAATCCAATTTAATTTTCTTGTTATAAGGGATTTAAATTAATATTTTTTAATTACTTTACGATGACATTATTTATGCAAATGTAAAATCATTAGCGG